CGGTCCTTCCCAGCAAATAGATCTAAACTCCTAATGTCTCAGTTGGTAGGTCGCGTTTCGGGTTTTATTTTTGTCCCACCTCACCCGGTTATTTTTGGTACCTATTTTGGTACCTCCTCCCACCTCAAGCTGACCCGCCACTAACCGTAAAAACCACGTACCGAGTCCTCCACCAGCCCCTCGCTCGAAAAATTCTACGACAATTAACCAGCGATAAAAAAACCTACGAAAAATAACCAGCGAAAAAAAACCCTCACGCACACTCGTTCGCCGTCGCTCGCCCCTGCCGCTCCATCCCTCGACTACCTGTCCCAACTCTCCTCCCTGCGCCGCCGTGGGTCTCGGCCTCCCTCCTCCCTGCGCCGCCGCGGGTCTCGGCCTCCCTCCTCCCTTCGTCCAGGCAAATAGAGGGCTGGCCTTGGCGCCTTGCCACTTTGATGGCAATCTGCCTTATGATCCGCCGCCGATCCCGATCTCGCATCGGAGGATTTGATTGACTTCTCCTCTCCTCTCTTCCACCTCTCTTCGTCGTCGGATCCCCGCGACACATGCCCAGATACGTCCGCAAACCGCCGGCGACGAGGTGTATGGTGCCGACATGGCCGTGCTCGAGCGCCTCCAGGACCCCGCAGAGGAGAATCAAGGCGTGGCGCCTCCTGGACTCCGTCCTTCGCCACCTTTGTTGACGACGTCCCTGCCGCCGGGCAGGAAGGTACTCGATGACGTACTCGATACCCACCTGCAAGGTCAGCCCCCCATCCTCCCGGTCCTTCCCAGCAAATAGATCTGGTAAAATTTGAATAATGATCTGGACTTCAATGATTAATTAATCTCCTGGTCTCTAATGGGAACTTTTTTGTTACTGAACTTCGTAGTTGGTTTACATAAAATCTGAAGTCTGTCTAACATATTTTACTTGAACACAGTTCGCTTCAGAATTCTACTTTATGTGAGCATTACTTTCTTAGGGTATCTGATTTACTTGGAGGAGTATTTAATTACACGTATGTGTAGTACAAGTTGTTATTTCCAAATAATTTTGATGGCCTCTAAGCATCATTGTTCATGTCTATTATTATTTATGAAAGCTACATGTCTTGGAGGGAAGTTGCGACTTGAGGGAGTGAGCTCCCATTCTCTCAATTTCTTGGCATGGCCATGCTTGCAGTACTGATAAGGCATGCTTCAAAAATGGAGGGAGGACCTGAGCTGCCGCCTTGGTTCCTGTCCGCACCAGCCGCCACAGTATGTAATCAGGCCTCCACTATCGTCCTCTGAATTTTGGATTACATGCATCTACAAGAGTGCGAAGGGTAAGGAAGCTAGCCGAGCCTAGGAGGATTCGCTTAGGTAGCTGGAACGTGGGGTCTCTGACAGGGAAGCTTCGGGAGCTAGTTGATGCAGCGGTGAGGATAGGTGTTGATATCCTTTGCGTCCAAGAAAGCAAATGGAGAGGACAGAAGGCGAAGGAGGTGGAGGATACCGGCTTCAAGCTATGGTACACGGGGACAGGTGCAAACAGAAATGGCGTAGGCATCTTGATCAACAAGAGCCTCAAGTATGGAGTGGTAGACCTCAAGAGACGTGGGTACCGGATTATCCTGGTCAAGCTGGTAGTTGAGGACTTGGTTCTCAATGTTATCAGCGCGTATGCCCCGCAAGTAGGCCACAATGAGAACACCAAGAGGGAGTTCTGGGAAGGCCTGGAAGACATGGTTAGGAGTGTACCGATTGGTGAGAAGCTCTTCATAGGAGGAGACCTCAATGGCCACGTGGGTACATCTAACACAGGTTTTGAAGGGGCGCATGGGGGCTTTGGCTATGGCATCAGGAATCAAGAAGGAGAAGATGTCTTAAGCTTTGCCCTAGCCTACAACATGATTGTAGCCAAAACCCTCTTTAGAAAGAGAGAATCACATCTTGTGACTTTTAATAGTGGCCAACACTCTAGCCAGATTGATTTCATCCTCTCGAGAAGGGAAGATAGGCGTGCGTGCCTAGACTGTAAGGTGATACCTGGAGAGAGTGTTGTACCCCAGCATAAGCTGGTGGTTGCTGACTTCCGCTTTTGGATTCATGTCCAGCGGGATAAGCGGGCTAAAGTCGCTAGAACGAAGTGGTGGAAGCTCAAGGGGGAGGTAGCTCAGGCGTTCAAGGAGAGGGTCATTAAGGAGGGCCCTTGGGAGGAAGGAGGGGATGCGGACAATGTGTGGATGAAGATGGCGACTTGCATTCGTAAGGTGGCCTCAGAGGAGTTTGGAGTGTCCAGGGGAAGGAGAAGCGAAGATAAGGATACCTGGTGGTGGAATGATGATGTCCAGAAGGCGATTAAAGAGAAGAAAGATTGCTTCAGACGCCTATACCTGGATAGGAGTGCACACAACATAGAGGAGTACAAGATGGCGAAGAAGGCCGCAAAGCGAGCTGTTGGTGAAGCAAGGGGTCGGGCGTATGAGGACCTCTACCAACGGTTAGGCACGAAGGAAGGCGAAAGGGACATCTATAAGATGGCCAAGATTCGAGAGAGGAAGACGAGGGATATTGGCCAAGTCAAATGCATCAAGGACGGAGCAGGCCATCTCTTGGTGAAGGACGAGGAGATTAAGCATAAATGGCGGGAGTACTTCGACAAGCTGTTCAATGGGGAGAATGAAAGCTCTACCATTGAACTGGACGACTCTTTTGATGAGACCAGCATGCGTTTTGTGCGTCGAATCAAGGAGTCTGAGGTCAAGGAGGCTTTAAAAAGGATGAAGGGAGGCAAAGGCGATGGGCCCGGATTGTATCCCCATTAAGGTGTGGAAAGGTCTCGGGGACATAGCGATAGCATGGCTAACCAAGCTTTTCAACCTCATTTTTCGGGCAAACAAGATGCCAGATGAATGGAGACGGAGTATATTAGTACCAATCTTCAAGAACAAGGGGGATGTTCAGAGTTGTACTAATTACCGTGGAATTAAGCTGATGAGCCATACAATGAAGCTATGGGAGAGAGTCATTGAGCACCGCTTAAGAAGAATGACAAGCGTGACCAAAAACCAGTTTGGTTTCATGCCTGGGAGGTCGACCATGGAAGCCATTTTCTTGGTACGACAGCTTATGGAGAGATATAGGGAGCAAAAGAAGGATTTGCATATGGTGTTCATTGACTTGGAGAAGGCCTATGATAAGATACCGCGAAATGTCATGTGGTGGGCCTTGGAGAAACACAAAGTCCCAGCAAAGTACATTACCCTCATCAAGGACATGTACGATAATGTTGTGACAAGTGTTCGAACAAGTGATGTCGACACTGATGACTTCCTGATTAAGATAGGACTGCATCAGGGGTCAGCTTTGAGCCCTTATCTTTTTGCATTGGTGATGGATGAGGTCACAAGGGATATACAAGGAGATATCCCATGATGTATGCTCTTTGCGGATGATGTGGTGCTAGTTGACGATAGTCGGGCGGGGGTAAATAGGAAGTTAGAGTTATGGAGACAAACCTTGGAATCGAAAGGGTTTAGGCTTAGTAGGACTAAAACCGAGTACATGATGTGCGGTTTCAGTACTACTAGGTGTGAGGAGGAGGTTAGCCTTGATGGTCAGGTGGTACCTCAGAAGGACACCTTTCGGTATTTGGGGTCAATGCTGCAGGAGGATGGGGGTATTGATGAAGATGTGAACCATCGGATCAAAGCCGGATGGATGAAGTGGCGCCAAGCTTCTGGCATTCTCTGTGACAAGGGAGTGCCACAAAAGCTAAAAGGCAAGTTCTACAGGACGGCGGTTCGGCCCGCAATGTTGTATGGCGCTGAGTGTTGGCCGACTAAAAGGCGACATGTTCAACAGTTAGGTGTGGCGGAGATGCGTATGTTAAGATGGATGTGTGGCCACACGAGAAAGGATCGAGTCCGGAATGATGATATACGAGATAGAGTTGGGGTAGCACCAATTGAAGAGAAGCTTGTCCAACATCGTCTGAGATGGTTTGGGCATATCCAGCGCAGGCCTCCAGAAGCTCCAGTGCATAGCGGATGGCTAAAGCGTGCGGAGAATGTCAAGAGAGGGCGAGGTAGACCGAATTTGACATGGGAGGAGTCCGTTAAGAGAGACCTGAAGGATTGGGGTATCACCGAAGAGCTAGCTATGGACAGGGGTGCATGAAAGCTTGCTATCCATGTGCCAGAGCCATGAGTTGGTTGCGAGATCTTATGGGTTTCACCTCTAGCCTACCCCAACTTGCTTGGGACTAAAGGCTTTGTTGTTGTTGTTGTTGTTGTATGCATCTACAAGAGCGCGAGAGTTTGAGAGGGTAGCACAGTGCTACATAGAAGTTAATTTTTCTCCATGAAGTTGATATGATGCGAAGCTGCTGCCAGATTGAAGGTTAATTGAGTTCTCATCTCCAAAATGTTTGCATTCTAAGTATCCTCTTTGATTCAGCGGTTCCATGATGCTACAGTTCACTTGTTTTTCACCTCTTGATGCTGCTATACACAGAAGGTGTTTGGTAATTTGCACATTAAAATTTTCTGATAAACTATGCCAATATCACATGCATATGCATTTTTTTAGTGATGTCTGATTATTAATCCATGCTACAATAAATAGGTCTGCTGCCTTGCTTTTCATAATTTAAATTTGTATTTATTTTCTTATATTCAAACAAATGTTTGTAGAGAACAGTGTTCGGCGACTTAGATAGCTTTAGTGAGTTGATGGTTTGACTTGCTAGGTATGCCTGCAAGGAGGACACTGTAATTTGGTCCAACAAGTACACACAACAATCTTCTGATTGTTCAACATTCTTTATTGCGTGAATTTCTGACATATCAGGATGCAGGTACATGACACTATTGTGTTGTCTGCAGAGGTTCTCATTCTGAAAGAAACTGCAACTATGCAAGAGCTTATTGACGGAGATTATGAAATTTGCAGTTTAAGTTCTGGACATCAGATTGATACTTTACCAAAGGTGCACCAATCGGCCCTCCGTCTCCTAGGGTGATGGCACAATGACATCGACAGCGGCAGCAATTGCGCACAGGTGATGATGGATTTGTCAACTGACTTCATATCTCTATCTCTACTACCTACAAAACCTGTAACATTCCATTCCCGTCTCCCGTCTTATTTCGTTTTGTCCAACTGCACACATTTCTCTGGTCGTATGCTAGATTGCAAGAACTGAAACATTTCCTACTGCGTTTTTAATGATGCAGTACGGTTAAAAACTTTTTATTTACTTGGGTCTGCTACCTCAGATTGATGCGCCATACTCGGGCAATAATAGTCCAAGCTTCATCGTGTAATAAGCTCCACCTGTGTGCACAGGTAAGTGGTTCTGGTACTGCTTCTGTTTTTGTTTGTTATATTTGCTGCCAGTCTGATTGCTACTATCTACTGTACGTGCTTATTGTTTGGCTTTGAAGAGATATTTGCTCGATGTTATGCCAATTAATTTCAAACAGATGGTAAACTGTGATTTGCTCCTCAATTTGTATTGTATCTGAGATCTCATTTGTGCGTACATATTAGCTTCTTCATGGCAATTTCAATGTTACATGTACCATAGTAAGCCAATCAATATCTGCCCCATATTGGTCTGATGCTTTCTTACCCTCTCATCCTTAATTAATACGCATTTTCCAATAGGATCAGCTTTGTTGTGCAAACTCACTTGTATTTTCCATTTTATTTGCACGATATCTTGAATGTTCATGGTCCGAATATAAATAAGATTCGGTTCTTCTCTCAGAAACTTATCCTTCTGCTTATATTTGCATTTGCTATTGATGATGTAATTTGAGCAAATACCCCATATCCTTTTTACCAAGTTTGGATAAAAGCATATATAAGTCTGATTTTAACAATATTTTGTGATCGACTATGTGTTTGCCCAAACTTTATTAGATGACGTGGAATGCTTGATTAATGATATCATCTTATTTTATTTTCTTTGTGGTTCCTGGTGTGAAGCAACAGATTTGAATAAAAATATTTATTTATTTAGAAACATTTTTAAGTTTATCTGTACATATTGATATTAGCTTGAATTTTGAACAAGAAATAGTTTCTTAATACGTACTTTTGAATTTTATGCACTTGTATGTACACTGCTACTAATGGTGCTCTTGATCATGTCATACACGAGTACTAATGGTGCATGCCTTAATATTGGAATGGAATGAATACCAGCTTATGTAGAGAAGCGAGGCCTTTTCGTATTTGAGGAAGAATGTCATGCAACCATTCAAGAAGAATAGGATGGGTATTCCAGTAATCCTATGGATTAGTCTCTATAGTTGTTGGCGGCCTATAAAGCAGAGGTATCTATGACTAAATAAATAAAAATTGATGACTTACTATTTTACAATATTAGTTTCGACTATAGTATTGCTGACTAAATCATGCTACCTCTCATTATTGCGGCGTCTCGCTAGCAGGGTATTCCCATTTAGATTATGTTTGCCCTTTCGATCACCGGCGCGGTTGTAGCCGTCCATGTAGGTGTCGGCGGCAATAGGGGGGAGGGGACATCGGAGCCGTCGGTGATATTGGAGGAATCAATCTAGCCGACCATTCTTTGAATGACGCAGTTTTGCTACCTCCCACTGATAACCTTTAGGAGCTATGGAGAGGAGGGTTAGGAGGGAAGCGAGCCTGCGCCGTGAAGAGAAAATGTTAGGGTCACAATAGCAAACGAGTTCATCTTGCCTGGGTTGAAAGAAGATAGAGCCTCAGGTGAGGCATATCGTCCCTAGGAATTTGTTGGTATCGAGGATTGTTCCAGGAAGCACTTCTGATGACAACATGATGTTGGGCCTCGGGAACATGGTAAGCTACTTATGTCACAATTTTCATCCATTCAGACTTGTTTTTGTGATTCTTGTACTACCACTGATCCATATATGATCTCTTATACTAATCATTTAATCCTGCTTAAATTATAGTATTAAAGGTGGTTGTACTTTAAAAGGTCTCAAACTTGTGCAGGTAACCAACAGAAACATATTGAAGCACATTGTTGTCATCATCCACTTAGTGACCGCCGGGTCACGCTCAGCAGCAACGGTGCACGGCGATGGGAAAGACGCAGGGGTGGCGGGATCATCACCAGTGGGGCCGTCGGGGAGAAGATGGAGGTAGATAGGAAAGGAACGGGCTCGGTTGGGTGTGAAAAGGAGAATGAGAGAGATAGCGATGATGTGGTGCTGCACCACTGCTCTCCTACTGCTAGCTGAATTTTGGTATTGTTGCTGCTATCTGAATTTCGCACACACACGGCGAGGTGTTTGATGCTGGCCAACGTCGCGCTTGTCGTGAGGGGGGGGGGGTCGTCGTTGGGAATCTTCTGTCAGAGGTGCTGCCCTGCGAGGTAAGAGGCATCCCTCTCCATGTGCTCGACGGTTTGTGTCCGGAAATAATTTCATTATGCAAATGATTATTATTTTTCTCCGAGAATGTTACAATGAAATCTGCGCATCGTCGCTTCTTATCTCCCAGCCGCCACCTGCACAGGGCACACTCCGACCATGCAACCGCCAAGGTCGCCGACCACATCGTGCACGTCCACGCCATCGACCTCGGCGGACGGTGCCGCAATGTTCGTTAGTATCACCTGTTGGTCGAGGAGCGCGAAGGAAGTGGGCTGAGGGAAGTGGGGGCGGCGGCAGAAGCAGCATGGGTGTCCTACGGTGAGCGCTTTGAGGGATTCTGCAGAGCAGTTCTCCCCGGAGGCCTGATGCATCCAACCGTACAAGGTAGTTGCGCCACTTCCCTGTGATGGGTAGGCCTTATATACATCTTGGCAATTCCCTGTTATGTTATCTAAATCTCGGCCACGTATGAGGCAAAAACCACATGCACCATTGTCTTCTACTATCTCCTTGCAGTAACTTCAGTTACTTGTAGCCAATGGGATCTATGCTATGGGGAACATACATGTCAGGGCACATGTGCGTCCATGGGTCCTCTTTGTATTACTGCGTGTTGGTCTGTTATCATGCGACACAGACTTGATGGTTGTTAGAATGCTGAAAGAGACGACTTCATTAGTTCATCCAGTAGTTTCTTGCTGCTGAAAGGATTACGATTGACCAACAAAAAATAAAACTTTTGATTTGATTTCTCAAAACAAAATAAATAAATCGTGGAGCATCTATGTAAGGAAAGCAGCTTTGTATGAAATTTTTAGTGCACTTCCAATATATGTAGCTAGCAAGTGCAGGTAGAAATGGTGTGATAGGCCCGTGGCATCCCTATTGAAAACGAACATGTCTTTGAATTAGCAAGAAGAATAGCAGTAAAACACATAGACTGTTCTTATTTCAAGATCCTAACCGTTTATCCGTTTGCTCCTTAGATTCGCTTACTGATTGTAAATTGCTTTACTTCATTGGACATAAAAGGACAATATGCTTGTATTTGTGAAACTGCTATATTTTTCTGTACAATGGTGAAAGAGCTACATTTTTATATCGCTCTATGATTCATTTTATTCTATTCCATATGGACATAGGAAACTTGAAAACTACACCACAACTCTTAGGCTTGCCAAAATATGAGGATTATCACTCAGTCATGAGCGAAACTGGATGTACCCGGTAAGGATGGAGGCGAGATGGGGCCATAGAGCCCCCTTTTGCGCAGGAGGGAGTAGGTCTGAGCCGAAGGCAACAATTGTGGCCGCTTCCAGAGCCGAAGCCACCTGCGGAGTCGATGTCATGGTCGCCCCAGAGCGGAATCCATCGCCTAGGCCACAAGAGTAGGAGCTGCTGTCGCGGAGGTCATCTCTGAACCTAAACTGAACTTTCTATGGATGGTAAGATGTCCTCCCTCAATCTTCTAGCAGCCGGTGCTCGTTGGCCTCTCCTCACTATTCAGCTGTTGATTGTATGAAATAGATGGTTAACACTTTATTTTGTTGGTCCCTACTGGACGGTAGTGATGTTGAGACAGAAGAGATTATCAGGCCTATGCATATATATATAATTGTTCATGGATCTTTCTTATCTCTGATATAATTTTGCCAATGATCAAAGAGCTGTTGTTCTGGATGTACACCTATTGTGTTGCTTATTTTGCCATCACTCTTCTGGTTTACCTTAGGAGTAGTACCAATCTTAGAAAATGCTCCTAATTTGGGTAAAATTTGGAAACATTATGGATGGATAAATTTATGGACTTGTTCCTTTATTACATAATTGTATATCCTATGATCTTATACAGTTGAGGGCCGCTTATCCTATTCTTTATGTGTGAAGTTAAAAGCTAAATATAGCTAATGACATAAGTGATCTATTAAAATATATCGCGGAAGTAAGTACTTATTTTTGTTTCTATTTATTACCTAATTTTAATGTGAATTTTTCAAAGACATATAGTGTTCCATATAGTCTAATTTAATATACCAGCGATGATGGTATTGAATCCGCGAAGAAAATATATACTCATTTCCTAATTGCATCTTTTAATCAGGAGGTCAGGACCAAGCTTTGGGCAGGAAAATGGGACAATCTTCAATAAGCTACAATGTTCATGTCTTCTTATATCATTTGACTGATGTGTTCTTGTATCATTCTTCTACTTTCGGAGCTATTACTGCGATCATTTTGACCTCATGTCTTCTTATATCATTTGACCTTATCTAGATATTAGTGGTTCTTAATCCAGCAAGGTCTTGAATATTTTTCGCTTTGTCCATTCAAAATTTTGTTCGTCTAGCAACGTTCATGGTTTAAGCTTTGATTCGAAAAACAACTTTCAATTTTATAGGAGACACAAAGAGCAACAACAAGCCGCTGTAGATATTGTGTAGTAGCAACATTAATGATCTGCTAATGTTATATTTTCTTCTTCTTTCCTTAATATCTACATGACCAATGTGTATTTTTAATGATCAAACATGCACATGTCACATTAAGAGGTTGAGAGTAGCTCAAAAGATATGCATACATCCTCTACCTTTTACCTAATGAAATATTTCTAAAACCATAGTAGATGTCAGGTGTAAGTTCCATGAAGAACTGTTGGTTTTTGTAATTATTTCGTGAAACTTTCATTGTAGGGTTCTAGGATTGGTGAATAAGCAGGGTTGTTTTCTTTCTTTAGTATCTGCATGATCAAGTCGGTCTGTACTTTTAATGATCATACCTGCACATGTCACATTAAGATTGAATATATTGTGACTTTTCTAACCATTTCTTGTTAATTGCTTGAGGAAAAACTAACAGGAAATTTTTTCTTAGAAATCCCAAGGAAGTAATTGTTCTCACTGTTTTGGTAAAATAACATAAATTTTTGTTGTATGTATACTTAATTTCAGGAGATGTAGATTTTCTTGTTATCTTATATATGTTCCTTTTTTTTTCTTGTGAAAAATGAGTTCAACAAGGGCTCCTCATTCTAGCCTCCTGGGGTTGAAATGA